AGTTGTATAGTCATGTAAATGATTAGAAGATCTAGAATAGTTCAACAATGTGAATTTTGTTCACAAATAAAATTTTAAGGGTTACGACTTTTATTTTTCATGATTAAGTAGGTTTAAAATGGTCAAAATGAAAAAAAAAAAAAAAACCCTGAGACATGAGAGTTACTTAAAGTTGACAACAATGACACTTACTTATTGGATTTTTTTTCATCAACCACTTTTACCCTTAAGTTACTGTAATTTCACTGAATTGTTTTGTTAGTCAATATAAGATTTAGATTCTGCATCTTACGGTAGGCACGTAAAATTTATATATGTGCCACGTTGGACGTATACGGGTCAAAATCAAATTATTGACTTGATGATTGCTTGACTATTTATTTAAATTAATAAATTTGTGTGAAATAAACTAAATTAGCCCATTGTAATTATTTTTATTAAATTGTTTTAAGGTTTTAATAGTCCAGCCTAATATTGAAAGCCCAATTCCAATATACATCAAACCCTAATCTTAGGGTACATCACTCTATAAATAGAGTTCTCTCTATTTCATTTTAGAAGGAGAGGAAATCGCAAGAGAATCAGAAAACCTCTCAAAAATTCTAAACCTCTTTGGAGAAAACATCTCAAAACCTTGAAGAAGAACAACATAAGCATTCGACAGCCCTCAACACGAAGGAAAAATGAACTTCAATTCATCAAGACAATCACCAGTTCAACCTCTACATCAAATAGTCATTGATCGAGATCAAGCCTCGTTGGCCCTCAATCAAGAATTTAAGTCAAAGGTCTACATGAACAACAAGTCAAAGGTCTACATTAACAACAAGTCAAAGGTCTACATCAACAATAAGTCATAGTTATGCATCAATTGTCTCGATTGTGATCAAAGTTTGAGGGGAATCATGTTAGCCCGTGTGAAACAAGTCAAAGCTAAAGTAAGGATCAAATTAGAGGAGCAAAATAGAGATTCTACCCTAAAATTATCAAATTAACAAAATTAGAACTTTATTTCATTTGTTTTTCTATATTTTGCATACGTAAAAGGAAAAATTGACAAAAATAATCCCAACTTTTACTCGTTCACTCAAAATAATCCCAACAACAAATTATTTTTAAATAATCCGAACTTTAAGGGTGATTTTCTTTAAACGGTCCCAAGTGACCAACCTGTTGAAGAGGTATTTTTTTTGTTTACGTGACACATTTCACCTCAAGATTGGTTGAAAATGAAAAAAAAAAACAGTCGAATCCACCACTGCGAAATCTGGCAGCCATCGTCTACCGCCCAGGCACCCCCGCCCCTATTTGTCGCCGCTTCAGACCTCGCTCCGCAGTCAACTCCGTGTTCGCCTTTCCCCGTACCCCCTAAACCACTAAAAAGACAACCCCAAAACTCCTAACCTAAAATCAGAAACCCTTAAAAAAAACCCAGCCCCACTGCAAAAACACCAAATCGGCCATCCCCCACCCTTGCCGCTAGGGTTCCTAGTATGGGGGTGGGCCGATTTGTGGTATTTGTGTTGTGGGGCTAGTTTTTTTTTCATGTTTGGGGTGTTGATAATAATGGTATGGGGTGTTGATAATGGTGATTTGGGGTGGGGGTTAGGTGATTTAGGGAGTAGGGAGTAGAAGTGCAAGCGCCAGTGCGAGGGATGGAGGGTCTGGGCGAGGTGGTGAAGCACCGACGCCGGAATCAGGCTGGTGGGTGGTGGTAGGGAGGGTGGTTGTGGCTGGCTTGGGGTTTTTTATATCTTTTTTTTTTTCTAAATTTCCAACCAATCACGTGGTGACACGTGTCCCACAACTTATTATTACAGGTTAGGTGACTGGTTGGGTCTGTTATAAGCGAATGGTATCCAAAGTTTGGATTATTTAAAAATAATCTATAGTTGGAATTATTTTGAGCGAATAGATGAAAGTTGGGATTATTTTTATCAAATTTTCCTATTTAAAATTTGTGTTTACACTTAAAAAAAATCAAAAACAAAAAAATCTCATTACTCACAGCGCACATAGAGAACTAGTTAACACTACTAAAATTCGGCTACATTGCGACCGTTTTTCTACGACCGTCTGAAAAACGGTCCCAAAATATGAATATTGCGACCATTTTTTATGCGGTCACAATATTACGACTGCTTTGACAACAGTCGCAAATTTGCGACAGTTTTGCGGCCCTTTTAGACGGTCGCTAGGATGTTTGAACAATTAAAAATAATTCTAAATTAAAATAAATCGTTTGCGCCCGTCAAAGAAGGTCGTAAATGTCATAATCTGCAACCGTCAAAGAGACGGTCGTAAATGTCATAACCTGCGACCGTCACAGTGACGGTCGTAAATGTCATAATCTGCGACCGTCAAAGACGGTCGTAAAATTCATAATCTGCGACCGTCGTAAATGTCATAATCTGCGAGGTATAAAATGTCACCATCTCACCTAACCTTAATTTCTACTACGAATCCCTCACGCCGCTCCTCTTTCCTCTCCTCTCTTCCATTTTCTTTCCTCTCTCCTCTGAATCTCTGATTTCTTTCCTCTCTTCTTTCTCTTTCCTCTACTTCCTTTCTCTTTCCTCATCCTCCATCTCTTTACTAAGAATTGAAGAATCAGAAGTTGATAAATTCGCTGCTCGTGCGAAATATTTTTCCTCTACGCTTCTCATTCAAGATTTGGCTCAAATCGGAAGCTTCGCTTGTGGTGTTGATGCCGACGCTTGCTATCACCTCCGCGCTGCTCGTCACGACTGCACACTCGAGCCACCGTCACAACCTCCACCGTCACAAGAACGAACCTAAAACAAGTCAAGGTTTTCTAGATCTGATATTTAAATTAGGTAGATTGTAGATCTGGATTTATTGTTTCTAATTATTTCTGTTTATGTATAATTGTTATATTATAATTTTTGTGTTATAAATTTTGAAAATTTTTCTTTATTATTTCATTTCAAATTTATGGGTAATATTTTGTATTTTGTATAATTATTTCATTTCGAATTTATGGGTAATTTTCTGTATTTTAATTGTTTTATTTCTGATTTTGTGGATTTTTTTTTTCAATTTTTGATAATTTTGTTGCCGGTGGTGGTGGTACTGGGTAAAGGTGGTTTTGGGTCAGATCAAGTGTTTGGTGGGTAAAGGTGGTTTCGGGTGAGAGGGAGTTAGTGGTTGTGGGTTGAGGGTGTTTTGGGTGAGAGGCAGTTGGTGGTTGTGTGTTGAGGGTGTTTCGAGTGAGAGCCAGTGGGTTGAGGTGAAGTGGCGGTGGTAGCTGTTTGGGTGGGCGGCGATGGTGGGTGATGAATCACATTTATATAGGGTTTATAAGCACGTTTATGCTAAGTTTATAGTTGCTTTTTAGGTCTTTTAGTCGCTTTTTTGGTCGTAAATACATAAGTTGTTTGTTTTGTTCTCTATTACGCTCCGTTTGTGTTTTTCTTAATGTTTCAGGTGATTTGATAGACATTTGGGCGCTTTCGTAGTGTTTGGAGTTGGTTCGGATGATATTTGGATGGAAGCCGATGAATTGAGTTTATTAATTGGAGATCCCGTGTTTGTGGATGTTGATTTTGATTAATATGTGCATGAGACATGAATATAGCATTCACAAGGGTCGTTATGTACTTTACGGAAATGAATTTGAGTTAGAAACGAAGAAAAACGAAGGTTTGCAAAGTATCAAAAATGACCTTTGCTCACTATTTTGATAATATCTTGAGTTCTACATATTGGATTGAAGCGATTCAAGATGAATTGGAAACTAGACTTGGAGAGCTTTCCAATTATAGGTCACACGCCTCAAGAAAATTTCTAGAACGGAAGTTATAGGCGTTTGAATCCAAGTAATGCAGTCAGCCACCCGCGGGATGTTGCTGCGCCCCTATCCCGCGACCACTCGACACCAGCCGCAGCTACTGCCAGCCCGCAGCCACCAGCCTGCGCCCGCAGGTCTGGTCGAACAGCCTTGAAGTCTCGAGTAGCTTTTTCATTCCACATCGTCACAAGTCTTCGGGCCACGTCATCTTCTATCATCCAATAATAATTCAACTTATGTAATCTTTATTTTCTTATTTCTTTTCTTTATTTATTTTTAGATTAGAATTTAGAAAGTTTATAAATACTTGAAGGGATTATTATTTTTCCCTTAGGCCGTTTTTACGTTCGTTTTCTTAGCCCTAGTTTTCTCATGGGCAACTCCATGGATTCTCCATGGATTGTTCTTGAGTTTATTAATTTTATTCATTGAGGTAATTTTATTTCTTTATTTTAATTATGCTTTCTTTATTAGATTTAGCTTTAATTATTTCTTTCATGTTTGAGTAGTTTAATTTCTAGGGTTTGGGAATCCATGTTTATACTTTAATTCTTGATTGATATTATTTATGATTTAATTATTGATATCTCTAATTGATAGTGTTTTTCTTATTAATCTTGCAGATCAATTGTTTGATTAACTATTGTTAATAAGAGTTTGACTCGAAAGATCTTACTTTTAGAGGCTTACCTACAATTAGCAATTCTGATTATGTTAGCGACCGAACTACATATGTTGAATTGAGAGCGTTAAGACCCGACCGTAGGTTTAGCAATTGCTCTAGATAATTGATTGATTGAATTGTTATTGATATTTTATAGATTTAGAACTATAAACATGGTGAACCATAACCATAGGTCTTTTTATTAATTATTTTTTCCCTCTTTTAATTTAGACTATATTTTCATCCCAATTTCGCGACATAGTTTAGTTTCTCCATACCTTGAAAGCTAGATTGAATAGTCATCTCTCTGTGGATTTGACCCTACTTACCCTACTACATTGTTAGTTGGTTTTGTTAGGAATTTATTTTTGACAGGTGTACGACAACCTATCAAATTTTGGCGCCGTTGCCGGGGAGACAGCTTAATTTGATTTGACTTTTATTTTTTGGTTGAACTAAACTTGTATATATTTTTATTATTTATTTTGTATATAATTCCTTTTTGTTTAGCTCTGATTTGTCATCATGGAGTGGTATGATTATAATTCGTATGAGATGAATGATTTTAATTATCAGGGGCAATATGATTATAATTTAGGGAATTGTAATGCTAATATTTCTATGTTTGATACATCATATGATTATCAAAATTCACATAATAATTGCATGAATTCCTGTGAAATTTCTTATTACCCTAGTAAGTCTTATATGCCTGATTTTAATTCCTCTTACCAACCTCAAGTGGATAATTATTCTCAACCCAATTCATCGGAGTGTAGGGAACTTTTTAATATGATGAATGAGTTTATTGTTTATCAGCATGAAGAGATTAATGAATTGATGCATGATTGTCAACGTATTTCAAAATCTATTGAATTACTTGCTGTGCAACAATATACTAACCAAAGGTGATACATGATGATAATGATATTGGTTTTGAGGATTGTATTTCAGTGGAGGAAAGCACTAATTTGACTCATGATATTTACTCCCCATCAAATGAAAGTACAATATAGGAGAATAATTTCCCATCTATTTATGATTCTAATAGTGAAAATTTTTGGAGTGACGATATAGGGGTAGTGGAGAAGGAAGAACAACCAATTATCGTTGAAGATTTTATTGACAAGCTTATTCATGAGGATGAAGTTGAAGGTAAAAACATTTATGTTAAGCCTAACCCATCTCCCCTCGATATCCCGTTTTCCCATAGGCTTGATCTAGTTCCTTCATTCACTATGTCAAATCCTCCACACTTCCTCAAAATGTCTCCATTTCATGATACACTTGGTCATGTGGACCTTGATGATTATTTAAAAAGGTCTACATTGCCTAAGGGGCAAGCAGGGTTAAGGTGTATACATTCTTTTTCTTATTATTTTAACTTTTCTTCTTCTGATTATTTTTCTTTTATTTTTTCTAACCCCTTGTATTTCAAGATTTGTGTGCTTGCTATCAAGCCATATGTGGTGCTCAATGATATGTTTGCAGGGGCGTATGGTAAGTTACTAAAGGCATTGGATTCTTCCGATTGACAAATTGAGTAGGGTCGTGCGGGACCTTAAAAAACAGCGCTAATTGGGAGGCAACCCAATTTTCTTTGTTTTTTTATTTCAATTTTTTTTCATTATTTAAATAATAATGCTAATGTGTGTTCTAGTGATGACGTCTTTTTCTAGGTACAAACATCGCTAAGTTCCTTGGCTACGTTGGCTACCCAATTACAACTACCAATTGTGGTGGAGGTGTCTATAACCTTTGACTTTCCCTTCGCTTACCCACCCCTTTGTGGAGTTGTGCCTCTTTGCTCACATTGAGGACAATGTGATGTTTAGCTTGGGGGAGGATGAATGCCATCATTACTCTGTGCATGTTAGCTGTGTTTTAATTTAGTTTTTATTGCTTTGTAGGTGTTGTATGGTTTGTACCATTCGTTAGGAGTGGGAGTTTACATACAACGAAAAACAATATATTGCTTTCTGAGTTTTTTTTAGTTGTTTTGATAGTGCATACTTGTGTCTATTTTTCATATTTTTGACTTCGAACCGTGTGCGGATTTGATTTGACTCTCTTGAGCTTCTTTTGATCTTAGTTATAATTCAAAAATTCAGTCGGTCTGTGCTATACATTGCTAACTGCTTGGCATTATGTGAATCAATTGACTGGTTTGTGGAAAGATCGGTTGTCCCATATCAAGTATAGCTACCCAATTCTCTTGTTAGGTCACCTTACTTTGTGTTTGTGTGATTGATGCAATTTGTTATTTCAATGACTTTGGCTTGAGATTTACTAGTAATTTGATTATGATTCACGCATGCCGCACATGATAAAGGCCATGTTCTTTAGGTAACCTTCAAATGATATATAGATACATTTGTTCCCTTTGCTCACCCATGTTGTTGCCTTGTCCATTTATTGATATATAGCTACATTACAAGCCACTTTAGCCCCATTGGTTACTATTCCCAAGTCTAGCTAGCTTGGGGAGCTTATTGATGTGGTGTCGTTGTTTGTATGTCAAGCTTCAATTTATGCAAAACATGGTGGAATAAAGTTTGAAAAAAGGTGTATTTATAGTTGAGAAGTGTTACTTGAATAAAGAAGAAAAAAAAAGAATAAAAAGCTTGTTTATGTGTACTTCATTGAAACAACCAAAAGAATTGAAAGAAAAAGGCAAAGAAAAAGGAAAAAGAAAAAAAATAAAATTATTCATGACGATGTATAGTTGATTTCAATCTTGGTTTTTTATTATGTTTGGAGAAAGTTGGTGATGTCAATTGGAGTTAGATCATTATTTGACCGCGTTTATGTTTTTGTTCCCCAAGTTGGCTCTTTACTCACATTTTCCTAAATATTATCCTACCCCTTTACCTTTGCCCCATTACAAGCTTGTAAAGTCCTTTTGATCGGCATGTGTATTTTGTGATTGAGTGAACATTATTTCTTGCTATCGTCAAGTTACCCTTTGTTACATCAAATATTTATATTCTACAAGGTGTGCGGCGACTACTAGCTTGATGGGAAATCTTTTGTGGCCAATTTTGGTTTCAATTGTGGATCGTGATGTTAAGTGGTTCTATTTGTATCCGAGCTAAATTTTGGTCTTAATAACTTTGGTTTGATTGTTTGCTCGAGAGTCAGGTCGGTCTTATTCTGGTTCCCTGGAAGTCTTATTTGTCTTGTTTCTCCGTCTTGAGTCTAGTGTTGCTTGGGAACAAGCAACGGTTTAGCTTGGGGGAATTTGATGAATCACATTTATATAGGGTTTATAAGCACGTTTATGCTAAGTTTATAGTTGCTTTTTAGGTCTTTTAGTCGCTTTTTTGGTCGTAAATACATAAGTTGTTTGTTTTGTTCTCTATTACGCTCCGTTTGTGTTTTTCTTAATGTTTCAGGTGATTTGATAGACATTTGGGCGCTTTCGTAGTGTTTGGAGTTGGTTCGGATGATATTTGGATGGAAGCCGATGAATTGAGTTTATTAATTGGAGATCCCGTGTTTGTGGATGTTGATTTTGATTAATATGTGCATGAGACATGAATATAGCATTCACAAGGGTCGTTATGTACTTTACGGAAATGAATTTGAGTTAGAAACGAAGAAAAACGAAGGTTTGCAAAGTATCAAAAATGACCTTTGCTCACTATTTTGATAATATCTTGAGTTCTACATATTGGATTGAAGCGATTCAAGATGCATTGGAAACTAGACTTGGAGAGCTTTCCAATTATAGGTCACACGCCTCAAGAAAATTTCTAGAACGGAAGTTATAGGCGTTTGAATCCAAGTAATGCAGTCAGCCACCCGCGGGATGTTGCTGCGCCCCTATCCCGCGACCACTCGACACCAGCCGCAGCTACTGCCAGCCCGAAGCCGCCAGCCTGCGCCCGCAGGTCTGGTCGAGCAGCCTTGAAGTCTCGAGTAGCTTTTTCATTCCACATCGTCACAAGTCTACCGGTCACGTCATCTTCTATCATCCAATAATAATTCAACTTATGTAATCTTTATTTTCTTATTTCTTTTCTTTATTTATTTTTAGATTAGAATTTAGAAAGTTTATAAATACTTGAAGGGATTATTATTTTTCCCTTAGGCCGTTTTTACGTTCGTTTTCTTAGCCCTAGTTTTCTCATGGGCAACTCCATGGATTCTCCATGGATTGTTCTTGAGTTTATTAATTTTATTCATTGAGGTAATTTTATTTCTTTATTTTAATTATGCTTTCTTTATTAGATTTAGATTTAATTATTTCTTTCATGTTTGAGTAGTTTAATTTCTAGGGTTTGGGAATCCATGTTTATACTTTAATTCTTGATTGATATTATTTATGATTTGATTATTGATATCTCTAATTGATAGTGTTTTTCTTATTAACCTTGTAACCTGATCAATTGTTTGATTAATTATTGTTAATAAGAGTTTGAATCGAAAGATCTTACTTTTAGAGGCTTACCTACAATTAGCAATTCTGATTATGTTAGCGACCGAACTATATATGTTGAATTGAGAGCGTTAAGACCCGACCGTAGGCTTAGAAATTGCTCTAGATAATTGATTGATTGAATTGTTATTGATATTTGATAGATTTAGAACTATAAACATGGTGAACCATAACCCTAGGTCTTCTTATTAATTATTTTTTCCCTCTTTTAATTTAGACTATATTTTCATCCCAATTTCGCGACATAGTTTAGTTTTTCCATACCTTGAAAGCTAGATTGAATAGCCATCGCTCTGTGGATTCGACCCTACTTACCCTACTACATTGTTAGTTGGTTTTGTTAGGAATTTATTTTTGATAGGTGTACGACAACCTATCAATGGGTCCGTGTTTTTTAGGGTGGTGGTGGTGGTTTGGGTGGGAAGTGATGGACTGATCACTGATGGTGGTGGGTAGTAGCGTTGGGTATAGTTGGTTTGGGTGGTGGGATAACTGGTTGTGGGGTACAGGATGTGGGTGAATTTTTTTATTTTTTTTTTTTAACTTTTTAGCGACCGCCTTTAGCCGTCGTTAATTCTTAAAATTGCGACTGCTTATAAAAACGGTCGTAAATTTTAATTTTTTCGACCGTTTCCCTTGCGGTCGTTGTAAATATTAAAAACGGTGGCAATAAATCTGCGACCGTTAAACGGTCGTAATAATTTTTTTTTGCGACCAAGGAAATAACGACCACCCCTTTACGACCGTTGATGGTCGCAAAAATGAATTGCGACCGTTTTTGCTATTTTCTGCGACCATTAAAGACGGTCGGCCGGTCGCAAAAACCTTACTTTTTAGCAGTGTAATACTTCGTAATTATTAAGTGTAATGTTCATAATAATTAAACATGATTTGATTTTTACAAAAATGACTCCTACGGAGTATCTTTTAGTTGACGTTATTTATCTCTACTATTTTTTTGTAGTCCCAATTTGATTGTTATACTACTCACGTACATACACTCCTTTGACATGTGTTGCACACTACTTGCACAGTTGCACCTTATACATAAGCTTAAAAAAACAATCATATATACTTAGTAGAATCATGTCCATGTATAGTTTTTGAATGTTAATTTTAATTTTAATAAATTTGTACTTGTTGATAATTAAATATTTTAGTGGTCACAATTCCATATTAGTGAATTGAATGTGCTAATAAAAATAAAGCACTTACAAATACACTAAGCATCTGTTTATTTTTACTAAAGTGAGTTTAACTGAATTGATTGTAGTGGAATGGAACTGAATAGAGCAGAAATGAATATTATATGAGAGATGGAAATTAGGAGCTGAACTGAATTGAACTGAAATTAAGCTGAGGTGAATAAACCCTAAAGAGTACATGTATTACTAAAATGATTGTCAATAGGAGTAGTACAAGCATATTAAATGGACAATTAAAGTAATTAAAAAAAGAAAGAAAGGAAAAAAAACATTTGACATAGACACCAAATCATCTTGTTATGACCACCCTCCAATTCTCCATCTCAGTGCAAAATACGAGAAACTAAGAGAGAGTATTATAAACTCCTGAGTGAACGATACACCTATAAACATTTTGTTCTCATTTTGATAATTATTTTTCATTTAATCATCAAATAAAAAGCAAAAACTAATTTTGGTTTAGTTGGGTGCACGAAACACCCGTTTATAAAATATTTCAACTAGTTAGGAAAGGTGATAAAGTTAGCCAGCCCTGAAAATTGGCATGTCTGGCAAAATATTTGGGCTTTAGGCACAAAATTCAGTTGATCGAGTTTGGGCCGACTAAGCCCAATTTTTAAAACACTTGAAATTTGAACATCCTGAAAAATTATTTTTTGGCCTAACTTGGGAGATAGCGGATTTGGTTATAACCTTTTTTGACTCAAACTTGGTCCCTTATAAAGGTCCGATTAAGGCCTTGTTCTTTTGAGTTTCTGAGCAGGGCAGAGCGGAACATACTTCAGTAGAATAGGGCAGAACATTTTAGAGCAGAGCTAGGCTTCCACAACCTGCAGAGCAGAGTAGAGTAAGTTTTAGCAGAGTAAAGCAAGACAGGACAGAGCAGAATAGGACAGAATAGAGCATAACAGCTCTAAAGAACAAGAACTAAGTCACCTTTTTAACCTAGACCCGAATTGACTCGGCCCATGATTAGTTCTATGACAAATACTAGCAACATCTTCATTGCAAACTTTTATTTGTTAACAAACAAAAATAGTAAAACGACAAAGGTAGACCGAACCTAGATAAACCATGAAAATGGGCCAAAATAGTAACTACTCGTAGTAGCCCATCAAATTAAAACCATCGGCCCCAAAAAAAACCCTAATTTTTTCCATCTTCTTTAAATACTCAAAAATCAAAATAATTGTTAGTATTCTTACACTTCTGTTCTTAGTCGCCGTTTTCAATTCTTCTATCTCTGTTTTTTCTAATTTCTTCGATCAATTTTTTGGTTTCTGAATATTGAGAAAAAATAGCAGGAATTGTGTGTATCGACGTAGTGCATTATATGCATTAATTAGTCGAAAGATTTTCCTGCAATATCTAATTTCAGGGGAGGATGGGCAGTTGTGTTTCATCCTTTTGTTGATTCTTTTCAACAATCATCTTCCCTATATTTTTAATTTAATTGAATTAAAATGATTGATTTTTGTTTTTTTCTGGGTTTTATTTGGTGAATTATAAGATGAATGAATTAATTTGTGTTTTAATTGATAAATTAGAAGAAGAGATGGATGTGATGATTATTTTCCCAGATGATCGAAGCTGAATAAACTGTGCTATTTTAATTCTCTTTTGAGAATTCAAGCCAGAATTCTAATCCATCTTTTTAAAATTATTTATATGAATATGAATATAAAGTGGCATTAAAAAGAACGATTAAAGGATGTAATGACGGTTAAATTTGAGGATTTTGTGCTAATTTCCGGAAAAATAATGCAATAAGAACAATATTATTTCATAAATCAAGCCATTATTACGGAGTATTGATCTAAATATTTGAAATCAACTGTGAGTATATTGAATTTTGTTAATGTTTTGATACTTGAATAATTATACTCTGTTAATATTTGCATGATCGTGTTAAATCATTGCAAATAATATGAAACGGAGGTAACAACTTTGATATGGACTATAGCACTTTGAGAGTATTGTAGAAAATAAGCTACTCGTTTCTCAATTTAGTGAAAATTTAGCAGGAATTATATATATTGACATAGTGCATTTTGTGCCCTAATTAGTCGAAAGATTTTCCTGCAATATTCAGGGGAGGATGGGCAGTTGTGTTTCATTCTTTTGTTGATTCTTTTCAACAATCATCTTCCCTACATTTTTTATTTTGTTGAACAATTTTGTGTTCTGAATTTCTGGAAACAATTATGAGATGATTTGATGGTTATTTACCCAGATGATGGAAGTTGATTAATCTGTGCTAATTTTATTCTCTGTTGAGAATTCAAGCCAAAATCCTGATCCATGTTAATATCGGAGATTAACTGGGCTCCCTCAATTAAAAGTGATAGATTGTTTCACTATTTTGACGAAAAAATTATACCGAAGTATGATGTAATTACTGTAGAATTTGTAAATAATCAAACGGAGTACTTTTATTAATACTAACGTAAAAAGGACAAAGTAATCCAGTGACTGAAGAAAATTTAGGAAAATGATGTAGGGAGAACCTAAAATAATTACAAGTACAAAGCTAAATACACTAATTGATCCTTATTTTTGTTGTAAATTACAATGAAATTATGAATTGTTGTCCTGAGGTTTCAAAAAAAAAAAAAAAAAAAAAAAAAAGAATTGTTGTCTTGAACTAGTTATGTTCCTTTGTGGTGGTCTCTATATTGGTTAGTGTTGAGCAATCTCTTACACAAATACTATCCTTATGATTTCGACCACGCCTACGTGCAATGCGTGCGTCTCTTAGCTTTGTATTCCTAAGGTGCTATTGAAGACATGTACATAGCCACTGTCAAAGTTTATTTGTTGAGGCTAGTTTAACTCGAAATTTCAAACCAATAAATTAAGATAAAAGAGATGGAGACTGACTAAAGGAAATAACCCAAATTGATTGAATCATTTTTTTTTTTTGAACCAAATTGATTGAATCATCTAATAATGGAGATAGATCTGAATATCAGTTTTGAGACTTTTGACTAGTCCTTCCTCACATTGCAATTACAAATGACTCCACCACAAGAGTATACTTCCCCGTTTGTCAAAAATGTGTATCATTTTGAATTTTTACAATATTTAAACACTAACTTGACAAGATTCTATCACTATTATACAAGGTTAATCTGTTTACTTTTGTAACACTAAATCAAAGTCATTAATAGTGAAAATTGTGCATTGAAATCGTGAAAGTCAAAGCGTATTGAGAAGGGATGAAGTAAACTAATAGATACAATCATAATTGGGATCTTGTTCACTATCTGTAGTGCAAATAAAATAAAGTCAGCATGTGAAAGTTTGGCTTTATTTCAATCAAAATTTCATAAGTCAACGGTATACCACTATACCAGCTAGCCAACTTGGAAGTTCAGATTCCTAGACTTGGAAGTTCAAGCACAAATTCACTTGTTTTCTAACAAAAACTAAAACTTTTGAGTCATTTTCTGAATCACTACATATACAAGACATTATAAGCTTGCTAAAAACACCCAACAAAAAGGTCAGTCAGTCACTTTATTTCATTTTCCACTTTTGTTCTTTTTTCACATTTAGTCCTGCTTAATCTTATTTCCCTTGATTACATTCCCACTTCATTTTTGTGGCTTATTATGCTTATTGAATCTAACACTTCCTCGATAGATATATAAAATAAAACAGCGTACTTGTGCATGTGGGATATTGTTTGATTCATCTAGTTGCTCGTTTTATCAACTTTCTAAGGTTGTTAAGGACTTAAGGGGGATATAGGGTGTTACAAGCCTGAGAATAGACATATAAATGAAGATTCAGTATGTGGTTTTTGGACTTTGGAACATTCAAGTTTTTCGTCATTTGTTCAATTTTGCATTCTCCTTAGAGGATTACTACACAGACTATTTTGATCCTCAACCTTTAGTCTTTGTACAAACGGTTTCCTGAAATCGAAAGGCATTGCAGTAGTATTCTGTCTTCAGGATCTAAACTGATGCTGAATGATGCTAAGGTTGAAAGTATCAAGAATGAGCTTTCTTTCTGTAATGGTGATTGGGATCAAGAGAACAATGGATTATACCCTCTAATGCCTTTCGATGCAGCTGATTTGCCCCCCGGAACAGGCTCAGCCTCTTTAAGCCTGATAAATTTCGAGGTCAAGGATGTAAAGTCACTTGATGATGTGCAGAATGGAGTTGGTGTAGGTGGGGTTATGTCTATAGGAATAACAAAGAGTAAGTCTTTTAGTGCTGATCACAGAACAATGTTCTCTATGAATCCCGGTATGTCTGTTCTGACAATAGTCTTTGAGGGTGTGTATGTTGAAACAAAAGAGAATGCAGGGGAGAGATTGTTGTGTATGTTGGGAAATACAACATTGCCTACTCGAAGATGGCTCGTGGACTGGCAGAACGCATACTGGAACTGGGGACATGAAAATTGTTGCCCTGATCTTGTGCAAGATGATCAGTTGGTACTTGTTCTTAAGTACCCGAAGATATCTAATTTGACTGCACGGGGCATTCAGGGAGAGATGATGAGTATGCACAAAAGATCGAGTTTTAAATTTTTTGATAAGGTCCTTATATCTTCCCGGGTGGGTTGGTTCTCAGATTATCAGTTCAGTCCAAGTAAATCAAGTTCTTGTAATACGTATGCTCATCAAGAGGAGCTGATGGAAACAAACAGTTTCAGTGCTTCGAATTTCTGTAAAATATTCAGGGAAATGTCGAATGAGGTTTTTAACATCTTGCCTGATCAATACACAAACTACAGTCCCACTGAGAATGGGAAACTAGGCCCCTTTGTGCTAGGGAAAGAGGTTGTGTCTGTTGACAAGAATTATAAAAATGTAAAGCTTATGATACGGAATGTCAAGTGCAAGAACGCGAGTTCTGATGGAAAAACAAGTAATGCAAAGGTGTCAGCGGTGTTCAGATTGGTTCCAACACTAGTAAACCGTGACACAGCATCATCCAGGACTGGTTTTTCAGGCATGACACTATCGGCTGAGGGCACATGGGATGCCTCCACAGGGAGGCTGTGTATGGTTGGATCTGTTCCAAAAGGAATGGAAGCTAAAGTTTCTATGTACTTTCCTCGAGCACTAACCATTAGGCAGAGAAGTATTGTGTATGGAAGCATAGAAGGCTTATTCTCACCTTTGCATTTAAACTTTATTCCGAAACCCAGCCATCTAGAATTTAGATATGGTTGGTATGCTGGCTCTTATTTGTCATACAATTACTCACAAATCAAGCAGGCTGATGAGTTTAGGAAACGAAGCCAGTCAAACAGCATCATCCGTTTATCTCAGCAGTCTGTTTTAAGGTATCCAACAATTCAAGCAGCAGGAGGGGTCTTTGCTCTCTCTCAAATCTATGACCTCACAGGTGAATTATACATTGATACAGAAGTTGCTTTTGTATCTGGTGTATCAATCAAGCTGGAAGTGCTCTCTATAGGTTCATATATGACTTCATGTATAAAGTTAATCATGGAGGGATTTTGGCAGATGCTAAAACATTATTCAATAATGACGGTCTCCTGAATGTTTCAGTGCAGTTGACAGTCTTTGAAAAGCCCCCTGAAACTTCTAGCACAAGACGAAAAACTTTCACTACTAAGTTCGCAGAAGGGCTCTATGATCCTCGTACTGGGATGATGTATTTGATTGGGTGTGGACCGGCTAACACAGTTGTTCATGTTGAACAGGGTTTAGACTGCTTGATGGAAACAACAGTTCAGTACCCACCACAGAATTTTCGATGGTTGAGGGATCCAACAATTGAAATTGATGTAAAAAGCAAAAGATATACTGATGATCCCCTCTACTTCCTTCCAATGAGAATCACTAGCAAAACAATTGCATACGACATATTCAAACAGGACAATCATGCAAGAGATGTGGCATTCCAGAAGATCTTTGAAGGAGTTCTTCAGGTTACAGTCCTTTTGGTGGAGATTGCTATTATATGGAGTCAACAGATTTACATGGACCAAAATACAGGCATTGCTTCTTCTGTCTCTCCTTACTTGTTTGCCTTGCGGATTTTTAGCTATTGTATTCTGCTAATCATTGGTAAAGAGATTCTATTGCCCTCAAAGGAAGCTGTCTCCTATCATCCATATGATCTTCTTGCATATCAACCAGTGTTAAAAGGGCTAGACTATGCTGCAAAGCTTCTTGCATTAACAGCTCTTTTTCTCACCACAAGGCTTTTTTGCAATGTTACTAAATCTACAACGAGGCTAAATGAAGAGGAACCTTCCAACACAACGCTTACCTTTGGTGACTGGCGCTACCTTCTTACCTTAATCAGGCGATTTATTTTTGTATATTTAGCTTTTCTTGCATTCGACTTGCTGTCTCCACTTAGGTAAGAAAAACACATGATGGAGATTGTTCAAGGCCAACTGGTTGGTTTGCTGACAGTATTTGGAAGCTGTTCTCGTAACCTGCCTCTCTCAGCCCACATTCTTGAAAGCTCGCATTGGAAGCACCAGGCCAAGTCTCTCCGAAAAATTTACTACATCGGGCTCCCATTGCTGCAGATTATGCTTAAAACCTATGATCATATCAGAAGCCCTATCTCTGACCCTTACACAACCAGAGAACCTGAATCTGAAGACCTTTTCTTACTTTCTGTTGACAATTTGGTTTTAATAAGCCAAGTGATATTAGTCCATGTTCAACAAAACTTCAATTGCTTTTGGCTTATCAACTGCTTAAAAGTTTGCCATCCTCGGAAACTGAAACAGCTGCTATTCAGATCAAGACCTCGATGACAACCTTCTCTTTTCAAGCCTGCCAATAGCTGGGGTGCTTCCTCCAGCAAACTTATTGAGAGTTTTCTTAAGATTGTAGCTGAATAAACTCAATTCTAGTTCTTTTAAGGACTTCTGTTTTCTTAAACCATTGATATTTTGTACTTCGTATTACTTTTTTCTGAACATAATGTGAAGTCACTACAGGCTTCATTCTGTTTTTAAGAAGGGTCAAGAGAGGCTCAACCGAATAACGAACACAGGTTTCAACTGTCAACTTTCTTTGTAACTGTCAGAGACTCTTGAGTAACAGCAAATTTGGTACAACTTAAAAGCAACATCTTTGAAAGTGAGTATATTCTTGACCCGAATAAAGAAAGAAAACTAGCAGAAGAATATTATAACTGTCACATATGACAACATTTTGATGATGGAAACATCTGATAGAAAGGTTGGTGAGTAGCTTTCCATATATTTAGAAAATATTTTCACGCAAAACACGAAGAACTTGTCGAAATTTCCAATGTCACATTGCGCCTTATTGTCAGCTCTTTGCCTTTCTTTATATCAATTAATAGAATTGTGAATTCAACCCATTGTTTTCCTCCAAAATAATTGTAAACTTCGAGTTCCTTTCGGATGCATTATAGTTTATTTTTCTAAGGAGGGAAAAGGAAAGAAGTAGGAATGATCTATTATAATTGTTTTGAGTATCACTTTCAGGCAACTTCATTCTTTACTATACACATTAGAACCATTCAAAGAAGCTATTAATTAACACTCCACTTGGTATAATTCTATCAAATTATAACTCTCGGTAGATTTAGCTTACGCAACAGATTAGACATTGTATATTCTTTGAGACTGCCTGCATTATATAATGATCACATACCGTGTATTAGTTTATACTCAGGAACAAAAAAAAATGAAGTCATTCATCTACTTTTCTCTTTAATAATTCATTAACCTTCTTGAAGAAGTCACCAAGAATTTATATAAATTGACCTAAAATAAAACTCATGTATTAATTCCACAACTAAATTCATGCTCTTCTCTGGTTTACCGAGGCACCAGAAAGATATAGGTTGATTTCTGTCTTGTTCTTAACAAGGAGAAATGGCCAAAAAGGTATTACATACTGTATTTAGTATAAACATATACATTGAAAGTCTTGCAATATTATTTTTCTTACTAAAGTTATTTTCCTTCTAATGATTTAAGTCTTTTCCGACTTACTGATGCAGAAAACTGTTCTGAAAGTAGACAACAGCAGCAAGAAAAGCCGGAAAGAGATACTTAAAGCAGTTGCCAAAGTTGAAGGTAAAAACAAACAAATTTTATGTTGTAACATTTTAAGCTTAAAACTTTGAATACAATCTCATATCAAAATCTGAATATGTTTATAAACAGGCGTAGAAAAACTGGAAATGGATATCAATAAGGGTACACTTACAGTTGTAGGAGAGGTTGAGCCAGTGCCACTTTTTAAGGCACTCAAGAAGATTGGACAGAGCCCAGAAATCATGAATGTAGGCCCGCCAAAACCGCAAAGATGTGGGCCATACTGCTACTGCAGCTCATGTCGATCATCCGGTGATCAACAGCAGAAAGAAGGGTGGAACTACCCTGCATATCCGTGCTCAGTACCCTGCAACAGATCTTGGTGCAAGCACTGTGAGTTGGTTGCGGTACAGTATCCTCCCTACTCTTATGATTCAGGGATGTGCTCAATTCAATGAGACATTCCCTCTGTTTCATGTAAAAACTTAGTATTTCTAATTCCTTGTTTCTTTCATTTCGAAAGTATGGTGTGGTAGTAGGGTGTACATATTTATATACTCGGAAATGTCGTAAACAAACATATAATACATTCAGTATTGGGCAAGTATTCTTATGTCTCATCTCTCATCTTGAAAAGATATTTGAAGACATGTGATAGTGTGTGCTGATTTTGGTAATGTTGTTAACCTATGGTATTAAGCAGTAGGCATTAAGTATGATTTTCATCTTGTGCCAACCAAACAACCACTACGGTGTCTAGCAGACTAACCATGCCATCCCCAATTTCCCACAAGGCCACAATCCTTGGTTTAATTACATCTAGTTTAAAAGTTTATTGAAGGCTCACACGAATGAAACGTACCAAACAATGAATGTATACAGAGCTGGGATCTGCTACAGAGCTAGTTTCTAATAAGATGGCTACTTCTCGGAGCACTAATTTGCAATCAGAAACAAATGATGCCAAAAAACACTCCTACCTTCCATTCCGTTAGAATATAGTGGTAATCTGAACCATTAACTATGACAGATATCTTTGAATATAACAAAGAATGGAAACCAAGTGTGACAAACAAAAAATGAAAGGTCAAAATTATTATAATACAACATACAAGTCGCTAATTAACCTAAAGACGGGTCATCTCTGTATAGGGTGCATCTCGCCGCATGGAGACTCGATTTACCACATAAACAGACAAACAGAAAGCAACCACTGAGAATAGAAGAGAGAAGGCAACAGCTGCATCCCAGGAGCTTGCTGTTGCAGTCCTGGCTCCAGTAAGTGTAGATCCTCCAGATATAAAATCCAACGGTAGCCAATCACAGCTTATCGTGTAATGTCCTGAGCCATGCCATGGTTTGCCGTCCTCTGGGTACCAAAAAGCTGCTGAGAACTTGCTCGTGTCACCAATCTTAAATTGAGCATCCTGCCATCACAAGAGGAACTTTTAGTTAAGTTTTGAAGGACATTTTATTTCACCGGTTGGCTTGTTGCCACTAAGCAAAACTTACCAATTTTTCATCAGTTTACTTGGACCCTAAATTCACATAATTTTACTAGAAAGAGTAGAAAAGGATCAAATGGCTCCAAAGATGCTAGCAGTCCTAGCACTTATGCAGCACAAACGGGCTGAAGAAATGGATAACAAACATGGTGGGAAGCATAATTAGTGTTTTTGGTGCAAATATAAGCTACAAGAGGTGATACCTATACTATAAGAAGACAGCTACTTTAATAACATGCTTCACACATGCATAGCACCATAAGTCCTCAAACTTTCCACACAGAGCTCCACATCCATCAACATCAACATTCATTAGCCTCAATAAAGGGCTCCATCAAGACAGGATAGGGGAGTCGATTGCATATTACCATAACCATGTTATAACAGGGGTTGTATCCAACTACCCCTTGATCCGAAACAAATGCCAAACACCCTAATGCGCCGTCAACATCATCAATAATAATCCAAAGCCAAATTGAAAAATCCTTTTGGATTTGTTGGAAAGGAAAATGATTACGCCTCAAATTATCATACATATTACAACAGTTAGCTTATAAAAGGATCACAGAATTCAAACCAATTCAACAGGCTTGAGCAACAGAGCTTAAAATAGCCAACTACAAGTTAAGTGTGTTGGTAAATAGCCAAGTAAAAGTTTCTGGAATTTTAATTTTGGAATTTGATGACATGGAAAATTTAGCAAAAGTACAGACCATAATTAAAGTATTCCAAACCACAAGGTTACTTAAATATGTCACTCTTCATTTGGAGTTCTAGAAGCACGCTTTATCAGTGAAGGAGAATGATGAAATACCTGTTGAAACCGATCCATGGTCCTCAAAGGCCTTGAAAATTCAAAGTAATAAGTTCCTTTTTTTCCATTAGATGCATATGGACTATCTTCATCCACAAAACCTATCAATGCAAGATCAAGTAATGGTTTAATCATCATACTCAAAAGTTCAAACTTATATTAAAGCTTATCTAATGAGTTAATAAATTTAACTATTACGCGCTTTAAATTTTCTGAGAAGATAATTGAAAGAAAGAATGAAACCTGAGTGAACATTGAGGCTGCTGTGCCACCAAGCTCCTTTCCAGTCATTCTGAGCAGTGTTATTGGTTCCTGAAGAGATGTCAGCATTAAAAAATATGTTCAAGCAAACACTACTAAAGTGGAACAGATGAAGATCACAGAGAAGCAAAAGCCATGGGAACATAAAAAAAGACTATCGCAGGTAGACGCAAGTCAATGAACATCTTCAATAAAATGGCACTCAACATGACCTTTATGAGGAATAATATTTAATTTTATTTTTAATAAAAAGGAAAGCATGAAAAACGTTATCAACCAGCCAGAAGAATTTAAATTTTGGAGCATGTGATGAAAGAATTCTGTCTCCTGTATTTTCAGCAGCCGAAAAGGTAAAAAGGGTTATTTAACCAAAAACAGCACCTAGGAGTTGCTAAGAGATTCAACATGATTCCTCTCCTCTACCCCCTCATCCCCTTCGTTTGTCAACAAAGAATAATTTTCAACTTTCAATGTTTTTGCACAAGTTACCTATAAATATGATCAGGAGGGGGGGGGGGGGGTGGGGGGAACCCATCGTTGATCACTAACATGAACTAAGAAATTGTCAGACAGAGCCTCGGAAGAGAATCCACAAGTACCATGATCATAAAAAATCAAAAAAGCATCTTTCATTAGTCATATGCAAATAATTTATTAAGTTGAACATCCAACCTGAGGGCCCAAGTCCATCAAGGTATCGACAGTGTGGGTTCCAGGAATAAACATCAACCAAATGACCAAATCTACACGAGAAAAATTAAGAGGTTCATTACGAGGTCCATCAAATAGCTTAGTTACTCACAATGAACACAAAGAATATAAATACTACACCTGTCACCGCCAGTTCCAACATCAACCAAGTTTCCACCATATAAACGTCCAGGAATAGCAGTTCCTATTGAAAAGTGCATAAGGTCAACTTCATAGCCGCGGCAAGTCTTATTGGTACAGGAATCAGGAGACTCTTTACAACCACCCATCTGATATACAAAGACATCTTTGGTGGTTACACTAACATGATAAAAGGAAAAAAATGGAAAACAGCAAGTCAATAAAGATGCTCACATTATGATAGGTAGCATTCTCACCAATCTGAAACAAGAGAGCAACAGATGGACATTTGTTACTATTGCTGCATTAACGCAAGTAAATAGTCAACAAACAGGTTGATAAAAAGTCAATAACTGAAAAACTAACAATTGAACTTTTAACCCACTATACAGTTTTTGCTTTACAATTCATTTCAATTAGACAGTGAACATCACTAAATTTATGCCGACACAACAGGTCATTAGCCAAACAAAAACTACAAGAATAATAAAATGAACAAAACAAAATGAAACATTAAGAAACAATCAAGATGACAATTTTAAGGACAAAAAACCAGTGCATATCCTGAAATAATTAAAAGTTAAGAACTCTCTTGCTACCATCAAGATTCAAGACTATAACAGGTCATTAGTAATATAAAATTTTACATGATATTATTGAGCAACAACATCAAACAAGACTAGCCTCAATCATTGTCCAATACTATGCATCTAGATATCAAATGCCAATATAAATTTTACAAGTGAGTGAAACGACCAAATTCCAAGCCTTTTCCAAGGAACCAAAGAAGCAATTTAAAGTTTAAAGTATGTTGAACAAGTTTTTCAAGTAACTAAGCTCAGGGTGTGGGAACAATTTACCACATATATCAATATTCCTATTGACCAGCATCTCCGATCAAATCGTTCCCATCAAATAAAGCGCATCTAAAATTAATCCGAGTCTTATGCTTATACATTTAAGTGGGGGAAAAAATGGCACTAAAGCCTAGCTTATTCAATTCACCTAATTTCACTTATTTCAGCAAATAGCAGTTTAGGATAGATAAGTTCCCATAAGGATTTTTAAGGCTACCCAAGTTCATTCAACAATTAAAATAAGTTCTAAAAAGTTCAGTTTAGAGAAAATCAGGTGATTAATATAACACACCCTTACTCTAGAAATGACAATTAGAACCTAATAATCAATAGTTTACCCTTGAGAGTAAGTATATTCTCCATCAACTTGTAACAAAAACAACACATCTTTGCCATCATGTAGTGCCTGCAAAATGTAAGTCAGAGATAGATCACTACCATCACTCAAAACTCGAACAACACAGCTCGAAAATCAAAACTGAATTCCAAACCCCAATTCAAATCAATATTACTTTGTATCAAACAACCCAAGAACCCAGAATAAATAAACCATCAAACTTCAAATCAAATATGAAAAGCAGAGTTTTCAAGATTCAATGACCACAAGAATCCACAATATACAGATCATTTAAGTTCAAAAAACACCCAATTTCTATAATTCTTGGCAACTATCACAACTCTAAGCAGCATTAAAATCCTAAATTGACAACAAAAACCCAAATCACTCAAAAATCCAGAAACCAAAATCAACCCACAATGCAAAAACAATCATACTCAAATCAAAAACCCCAAAACAAATTACAAAAAAAACATGAAATTTTCAAATCAAGATATACCTTAACAGTCATTTTACCACCCTTATAAGCATCATCTTCATGTGGGTCAAGAGCAGGCAATAAAGGAAAATCAAACCCACCAATGTCCTTCCATTCATCAGGGTGCCCATCAACAGTGACAACACCAGGTCGATACTCAGCGACGAGTTGGGTGGCCGAGTTGGATGACTCGCAACTCCACTCACCAGATTCGTTGTGCGAGTAAGCGAGTTGATATGAGAGGGTATGAATAGTTAGAAGAAATAGAAAAAAGGGTCGAAACATTAACATCCTTTTTCTGGAAAAAAAGTAGCACAAAATGAAGGAGATCTTTGAGTGCGATGAGAATCAATCAGGTGATGATAGTTGGGTAGTTGAGAATGGCGTAGGCAAGTTTTGTTGACTAATGTTGTTTTTTAATCTCAACTTTTACTCTTAATTTTGACTTTTCTTTTTGGTTAAGCATTTTAGCAGCCTAGTAGTGCAAATTACTTGTACTCTTTTGAAAGGAATTAATGGCCTTGTTTGGCAACTAGCTATTGGCGGTTGGCTGGTTCACTTGGCTTGTTTGACCAGCTGGAATGTTTGGCTGTTTATAATGGCTTTTGAAATTGGCTGTTTAAGCTAGTTGTTTATAAAAGTTTGGTAAACTAATTGTTGGTTGTTGGCTGTTTATTAGATAATTTCTGGGCCAACAAGCCAAAAGGCAACAAAAAAAGCCACTCAAAGCAGTTTTTCATTTTGACTTAAAAGCCAGCTTTTTCGCTGACTAAAAAGCCAATTACCAAACACATTTTTTGGCTATTTGACCACTTAAAAAAGCCAAAAGCCAAAAACTAACCAAAAAGCCATTAAAAAGTCAATTAACAAACATGGCCAATATGAATATAATTGAATTGAATAACAGTGCATTGCAATGAATTAAACCGAATTGGAGTGGATATGTATCTTTATTCATCTTATTCCGTTCTGAACAGATTGTTTATGTGTAAAGTAGCTAGAATTTTTTTAAAATGGTTGTTTCTTTTGAATTGAACTAGCCTTTTGGCCCGTTCGATGCACGGGTTCATATGTAGGTATGTTTTTCAGTAGTTGAAACTTTTGATATGAAATACGAAGTAATTGTTTCATTGCTAAAACTTAAAAAGAAAAAAATAATGAGTGTAGAATTGGGGAAAAAGATAAAGGAATTTAGTTACATATATATACATGAAGATTATAGGATATGAAATGATATATTGGTTTAAGTTATATTTTAAGTCTATTAGTTGAAAAGACAATTTTAATATTATTCAATTCATATGTTTATGTGATGTATATTAATTGGTTCAACTTTATTTTATTATGATGGAAATGAAACATTTTATTTTCTCAATTGAATTTGCAAGTTATAGAATGTATAAAGACTTAAACAAAAAGATTAAAAGGAGTAACATGTGTCATATGTGGTAGTGAGTGACTTGTGATGACATGTGTCATATGAAAAATTATGATTTGTGTTTTTAAATACTAAGTATAGATAGATATAGATTAATACTAATTGAATAAAGGTGAATTGTAATGAATTAAACATTTAAACTCATTGGATTGGAAATTCTTTGGTGCGTTACTCCGTTCTATATAAACTGTTATTTTATGTCTAAAGGTGAAGCTGCTAGAAATTTTTAGAAGGCTGTTTCTAGAATTCTTGCAAAATGTGATATTTAAGAGGTTTTTTAAGACAATTTCTTTTAAAAAAAATTTCCCACTTACATTTAAAAAAAAGAAAAAATGCATACAAAGCATTTTTGGATAGCAGTTGTAGTCTAGTGGAAAGGAAAAATATCTAGATTATAAAGTAGCAATTATTATCATTATGACCTAATAAGACTTTTTTTTTTTTTTTTTGACAAATATGATCCAAGGCTTCTTCTCTTCACCTTATAAAAATGAATTTCAAATCTAAGTTGAGATCAATTTAGATTAGTTCACATCAGTTATAATAAGGTCCAATAAGTCTAATAAGTTTAATAATATCTAATAGAGCCTGTTCTGTTCACCTTATTTTCACTTATTTCACGTATGATAAGTTCAGTTTAGGAAAAATAAGTTTTAATAAGGGCTATATAAGTACAAATTAGAAACAAAGTAAATTTTGAAAAAGTCTAATAATAAGCTAAGGTTAGAAAAATTTAGATAAGTGAAAATTAAGTAAATAGAACTTGATAGCACTTATAGCAAGATGACCACAACACAAGATGCTCAAGGAGGCTTTGCATCCATCTCTCGAATTCACCCATGTACCTTTCTAAAGGCCAAGATCTCTTGACAAAAAGTCATAATTTCTCATATTTCTGCACATAGATTATCAACAAGAGTTTGCTCACCTCAAAACACAGTTATAAATTGCTCCATGTTATCTTCGAAGAGATCAGGCAATTCCTGGAAGTCGAAGGAATGAATATTCTACAACACGTACAACCTTTGTGACTCAAATAAATGCTATAATTTTTCTGTAATATGAAGTAAGGGTAAACAACTGCAGCAATAGGAAAATTGTTAAAGGGGTTACTTTGTCAATGTTATAGGTTTAGTCAATCAGTGTCATAGGGGTTACTCGGTCAATATTACAAGAGTTACTTGATCAATGTTATATGGGTCACTTTGTTATTTTATAAGTGGTCACACGGTGTGCCAACCACACACAATACAAGCTCTTATTTTAATTAGATAAAGAGAACAAGATCTTATACAACCTAATCTAACGGAGTATTTGAAAGCAAAGTTGTGCCTTTGGTCCCCAAACCTTTGGTTATTGCCCCTTCTTAGGACAGATATGCAGCCCTGCCGGTGAATCATAGGACAAAAGTAAATTTAGGTCAATGCATCATTTTTGTTTGATTTGATAAAAAAAGGTAAATAGAAGTTAGGATTGTCTCCTCTGAAGATTAAATCCCAAATCCAATTATTAACTACTCGTTTTTAGAAGAGTCTATATTTTAACATATGGGCCCAAGGAAGCAACATAATCTGCTATACGGTTGCTTTATTCGTACATATGTCTTGAACGAACAAGCTGTACTGTAAGTTGCGCCTAAGGCTGTTAATATCTTCCATCAAAAGTTGGATCTTCCATATGCATGAACAAAAACCTCTCCCTGCAAAAATATTGTAATTAGAAGATTATCAAAATGTGGAAAATGTCATGGGCTATTAAGTCATGGGCTATGGCCATAATAAGACATTCCACGGCCCAAAGGAACGACTGCACGGTCAGTGTATCATGCATGAGTGCATGACCGTGCTACAAGCCTGCAATTATAGCAATGTTATCAATATGTTGGCCAATTGACCATATTGCCAAAAGTTAACACCCTTGCGAGTTGCGACAAATTGATATAAAAATTATTTCCGGCGATATTTGGTAAAAGTTAATTTGTGGCGACAAATTGTTATTAGTATAAAAGTTAACACGTGGCGAATGGCGGAGCCATGATTTGTAAGTGAGAGGGGCCAAGATTATACCTACGTATTGCATTTACTTTTTTTTAAAAAAAAAAATCAAATTTTGTTAGCTACAAGATTTGATCCACTGACAAGTTGCATACTATCACATAAAAAACCAATTCCTCTACACCATAATTAATGACAATAAAGAGCAAATTTAATTAATATCTTGAGCCAAGGGGGAGGCCAAGGCCCCCGCCAGCCCTCCTGGCTCCGCCCCTAGTGGCGACACATTAGTGTATAAGTTAACAAGTTGCGACATTTACCTCTATTTTCTCGTCGGATGAAAAAGCGTCTTATATAATATTATTTAATTACTTTCATAACTTTTTTATTACCAGAATATACTTTTTCCCTCCTCCCGCCCACCTAATATTATCAATACAATAATTATTTCTTCTTTTTTATTTCATTAAAAAAAATTATCAAAAATTCTATGTTATGAATAGTTATATCATTTTAATTAAATTATATCATTAAATAAGCGTCAGTAAAAAAAAGATATTAAATTAAATACAATAACTTTGATAAATCAATCCTTCAATAGGTGGTCCCTACAGGCGTCGGTACCAAGCACGGTACCGCCTCTCCTTTAATTAATAAAAAGGCGGAAAAAACATATACTCTGAAACAAAAGAACATGACTGTTTAAAAGAACATTCCTCTAATTTATAAAGAACGCGAAAAAGTAAGTCAATTTTTTTTAAAAAGGCAAGAGGTAAAAATTAAATTATTTTTTTATTAATACAACACTTTCTCTAGATATTTACCAAAACAAAAATTCATCTCTCTAAAAATTTTCTCTCTCTAGAAGTTTTCTCTCTCAAAAAGTTAAAAAAAAAAAAAAAAACACAGTTAAATTTCAAACTTCAAAACCTTAAGCAATTTTTGAAGAAATTTGTAGTTCTAAATCCAAAATTCTTGAATATGGCAAACAAAAACATGTAAGTATAATTATTGACATGCCTGAGTGTTTATTTTGGAATTTGATCAGGTTTCTTTTTGCAATTCATACGGAAAACTGTTTCTTCAACTTTGTTACTGTAATTGTTGTTTGATTTTGGGTTTTTTTTTTTTTTTTTTTTTGCAATTCATTCGATATTTTTTTTTGTGATTTTGGGTTCATTTGTTTGTGCTCCATTTCATGAAAAGAACATATTTACATCAAAAAAAGAGTGAAAAGAACATATGTTCATGTTCTTTGATTATCAATATAATGTGCTTTTATTTGTGACATAATACTCATTGCTTATTGTTAAATGTTTTTGTCTTTAAATTATGGTGGGTATGTATAAATAATGTTCATTACATAATATCATCATATATTTTTTTTATTAATATTACAGATGTTCTTTAGATAAAAAATAAAAAAATAAATCTAGATGTTTTTTTATAAAACGGCTATATGTTCTTTACAAAACAGTTGTATGTTCTCATTCCGCGTTTCTTTGTCTATACCAAGCATGGTACAATCACCTGTACCTTAAATTTTTCATCAATCCTTACCATCCATACTTTTATATTAAACGCAAAAGAGAAGATCGGATCATATTAATAAGCTATTGCCAAGTCTTTACTAGTTCAACCAACACCTTAAAACAGCAATTACTTCTTATTAAGCTGGTGTTGAACGAAAAATACATACAAAAGGTACTAGTTACTTCATATTGGCTTTCCTGCTCGTTTTCCCCTTCTTTTTCATTATTGGCTTTTCATACACGTATTTCTTTGGATATTACTTCATAATCTTTTTAAATTAATTTAAAAAGTATACAGGAAAAAGAAAGGTTAGATAAAAGTTTTTAACATTAAAAATAAGCGCATGTAAACTACGCATATACTCTGACGACATAATCAGGGTAAATATCGCAACTTGTTAACGTATATACAAATATATTGTCAACTGTTAACTTTTATACCAATATGTCGTCAGCAATAAATTTTATAA